ACTCGAGGTGTGAATGCTATCAGATTTACCCCCGATGGTCGTTGGGTTGTATCTGGTGGTGAGGACAATCTTGTGAAGGTTAGATTTTGGATCTTCTTTTGATAAGAGGCCCAAAGGGTTTTTTACTCTGGCTAACTTGGGTAGCAAGGAGCTTTGCTTTACCCTACTTTTGATTTACAGGTTGATATGAATTAACTTCTTTAGATTTTATCTTTTGCTTATTCTTTTTCACTGTAGTATGTCAGCGCTTGGTCGGTCATTTAACTTCATTTTGGCAGATGTCTAATTGTCCTATCATGAGATAACCGATTAATTATGTAAACATGAGATCAAGCTCTGGCTGTTACATGCCCCGGCTCTTTTACATATGATTCCAGTTTGTTGAGTAACTGAGCCAGCCACCTAAGATTGTGCTGGCTCTATGCTCTACAGACTTTACCAGAGTTGTTAGACATGACCATGAGCTGGTGACAACAGTTGGATCTAATCACTTGCAATCTGTCTTGTGACTTCAAATTTCATGACAGTCAATTTGGTTTACAGGTATGGGATTTGACTGCTGGAAAGCTGTTGCATGATTTCAAGAGTCATGAAGGCCAGATTCAGTGCATAGATTTTCATCCTCATGAATTCCTGCTTGCAACAGGTCAGTTGTGCTATGTTAATTCAGAATTCCTGTCTCATGTTGCAAGATGATGTTACGTTCTGTTCTATATACATTTGTAGACTCTTCACTTGATTCGAGTTTCGTCAGCTATTAATGAATGGTTACCATTCTAGCAGTTATTATCATCATAGGTTTTCTCTTGTCCATCCACATTTTCTTTATCAACTGATTTAGGTTTTTTCAGACATGAAAGCAGACATACTATTTGGGAGCAAGCTTATTTGAAAATCAGATTAAAATGAACCAACGATGTACTCAATTAAAGCTTGTGAAATATTGCATTTCTTGTTTTCATACTTGCTTTAGGGAGTTACTATGCTCAAATGTATCTGCAAGGCTTTTATGTCTGATTGCATTACCTAGTCAATTTATTTGATCATCCTCAATGTTGAACTTAGGAAATGCCTGGCCAATTACTATTGAAGCTGGGGTCATGACTGCTGTAAAATAAGAAAACAAAAGCTGGGGTCTTAACTGCTACCAAAACCAGTAGGAAGCCTATAGGGTAAATTGAACATATCATGTTTGTGATGCGTAATGGATAACTCAAGATTGTCTAAAGTATGTGAGCAATCATAATTCTAATATATAAAATTACTGTACTATTTTTGGAGTCTCTTGTTGTGGCTTTAGTATCCTTAGAATTTTATTTTATCATTATTTAGTTTTTCGATTTGTATAAGTGGTATTTCCTATTTTATTAGGAGTACTATTCCTAGTTTTATTAGTACTAGTTTACTATCTTATTATGAGTAGTACTTTGAACTTTATTAGTTTTAGTATTTCTTAGTTGATTCTATTTAGTGAAGATTACTTAGGAAACATTATGAATATCTTTGTAGTTTTACTTCTTGAATAACTACGTTGAAAGTTTCTCAAATTTTTGATTGTATGATATAATCATCTTTAAATGTGATGCTTAAGACTTTCTAAGAAATTTTAGGTTTAATGTCAAGGTTTTTATCTCCAGATCCCTAACTAGGCAAATTAGCTATAATTTGTCTTACATCTATTTACATAAGGTCAGTAGGCCCACTTGGCCAATATATTGCAAGAATGAAGTACAAATATGTCCATTCAGAGCACTTAGCAAGTATATTGTTGTTAATCAACAAAATACACTATTGATGTACAAGTCTATGCGACCCCCGGCTAATGTGACAAGGGAACAGTAGGGGAAACATCCACATTAAGACTCTCTATTATAAACCCTTTAAGATGCTTTTCAGCACCTTTAAGGGAAGAAAACAAGAGTAATTTTACTTAGCAAGTGTAGTGCTTGCTTCTTGTTGGTCCGAGCATGAATACACAAAATGAATAGGAAGACATGACATGGCTAGTTACCATAATCAATATCGTCATATAATCAAGCAACTAAATTACAAGTCAAACCTATGTATGAGAGGTGAACTAAACACTATCCTAACATTCATACTTGTAGCTCGTTTCTACCTTAGCCTGATTACAAAAAGGGAGCTTAGTTGAACCCTAACATAACACACACATGAAAACCCACCTAAATCCACTCTATCCATTCATATACCCGTAGGGTTGCTCATTACAACTGTAACCTAATACGTAAAGGGGAGCACAACTCATTACAATCACTTATATCTAGCGGAGCCTAGATCGATCCTAACATAACACATATAGACAAGCCCAACTCAATCCTATCACGCATGCATAGCAGATCCCGACACGATCCTGACATAAGATACATATAGGAGTCCCTTTGAATGCAATCCCATAATCATAGGGGTGCCCATCTCAACTGTGACATATCATACACAGGGAAAACCCTACTCAACTAAATCTCATATTTGTAGGGGAGCCTAGTGCAATCCTAATAGAGCATACAGTAGGGACCCTAAAAATATGAGTTCTACATAAGTAGATTACAGCTTACAGTCGGTACATTATGTAAAACTCTAACTTTGAGCTTCCCTATGAAAATTTAGAAAATTTTATGCTTATTCATTCTCTTCAATATCTAAAATAATGAAAAGTTGCAATTGTTTAGAAGGATAAAATCCTGGCAGTAAGGATGAAATCAGCATATTGACAAATTTGTGCAAGCTCATCCTTGAGGTAAGCAGTGCCAGACCAATTATTGGCTTAGGTTAGGTTCCTCCTTGCATTGAACTTTCACAGACTAGGTTTTTTGGGTAGAGAAATGTCTTGAGCCATTCTAAAATCTTTACTCTTAAGAAGACATGGAAGTTTCTCTTGTTCCCAACTTTGTCGGGCTCCTTCTCTTTATCCCTTTCATTGATTGCAACAGTCTTGGAAGTTTATATTTACTCATCTCTTCTGTAGTGACAGATTCTAAAGCTAAGTCGTTTATGCCGAAGATAAGATGATGAGTATTTTTAGTTTGTCTTGTTGACCATGTAGATTATGAAGCCAAGATCGATTTAGAATAACATATATAGACACTCTAGGAACTTACATCACATAAATTTGTCCTTGCCATAAGAAATAGAAATAAGGCTTGTTGAGTTACCAAAATACTCGTATTATTTGTCCAAATTAGTCTATATGGTTTGTACGTGCTTAAAAGATTGAGTTGTAACAGATTCTAAAGCTAGGTCCTTTATGCCAAAGATAAGATAATGAGTATTGTTAGTCTTGTCTAGTTGACCATGTTGATTATGAAGCCAAGGTTGATTTAGAATAACATATATAGACACTCTAGGAACTTACATCACATAAAATTGAATCACCATAAGAAATAGAAATAATGCTTGTTGAGTTACCAAAATATTCTATTATTTGTACAAATTAGTCTATATGGTTTGTACGTGGTTAAAAGATTGAGTTGTAACTGTGGTGATTAAAACAAGCAAAAACTTAGGAGTAACAAACATCCTACCTTTATATCAACAGTGGGCTGGAGTTTTAAAATTTAGAGGATGCTTTCATCTTCCTTCACTTTAGTTGTTTGATTATACTTAGTTATAGTTAAGAAAGACTTGTCAATTCTATCATCTTTTAAAGATGACTTGTTCCCTTCCTTAATATTCCACATATTTCAGATTCTTATATAACTCCAGAGTGCAACTTTAGTGACAAGGACTCCAAAAATGAGAAGAGTAGGCAAATAATTCTGCGGAACTGTTGTGAATAGTTGAAACAAGTTTAGAAGAGGTTGAACTGGTATGGGATGGCCTGTTGGCCGACCTTGTTAAAAAAAGTTAAACAAGGCTTGATTTTGCAATCCTCGCGGTTCACTTGTGTGTGAGGGTCACTCTTTGGTTTTTGGTCATTGACTATGTCAAGGTTCTAAAGTAGGCTAAGCCTTGAGATGGTGGTCGCAGATCCTGACAGGTGTATGAAAACAATGTTTCTTTTTCTACTATGCAAAGGATTGCAAGGCCATCTTACATAAAATTTAGCCCCCTTTTCCTATTTTATTTTTGTTCCTTTAATTTTTTTCCTTCTTGTTTGAGGATATTTTATCCTCTTCTACTTGAGTTTGCTTTCCTTTTTATTATGCCCTTCTTTTATGCAAAAGAAGAAAATAAAGAGCAGTATCATTATGCTAGAAAATATGAAGGCCAATGTCCATTTCAACTCCACTTTAGAAGGAAGATTAGTACATTCAAGAAAGAAAAGAGCAAAATAAGGTCAAGCAAATTCTTTTTTGCATAACTTGTTTTTGGATATAGGAAGGAAACTTGCTTTCAAGCAAGCACCATTTGGGTTTCATTGAAAAGTTCACCTTCAAGACTAAAGTCAATGAGCCCGACAAATTTCTTTTGGTGTAGGCAAAGGCGTTCCTTCGTTTAACCACCTGCCTTTGGTAGACAAGAATTTTTGCAAAGTAGGAAGCCTATTCATTTGAAATCAAACTCAAATTAATTTAAGCAATTGAGAGGGAGTATTATCTCCTTTTGCAATTTGCCTGCATGACTTCCTGAAATTAAATTCTTGTTAAAGTTGTATATCCTGGCATGTTGTATACTTTGTCAGTTTTTACCACTATAAACTACAGTAAACTTATTTTCCTTTCACCTCAGGTTCAGCTGATAGGACTGTAAAATATTGGGACCTTGAAACATTTGAGCTCATTGGTACAGCCGGTCCTGAGGTATCTGTCTTGTTGCAGCACTAATTGGCTCTTTACAAAAATTCAAGTTGATAGAATAGTCTTTTGTGTTTCTCTCTTTTTGAGCAAATGGCGATATGATTTGTTTATTTCTGCAACAGACCACCGGAGTCCGTTGTTTGACCTTTAATCCTGATGGGAGAACACTTCTTTGTGGATTGCACGAGAGTCTAAAGGTAGCCTCTTCATTAGTTTTTAATCATATGACAAATTGTTTTTTTTTTGAAATATAAGAGAAATATTATTATGCACATAGGTACCAAGGGGGTACCCCCCCATATACATAACAATCATATGGCAAATTGTATATAAGGTAAGCTTCCATTTCTACCTATTGCTTAACTCTTTATGGTACATCTCAGGTTTTCTCATGGGAGCCAATAAGATGCCATGACGCAGTTGATGTGGGATGGTCTAGATTGTCAGATCTTAATGTTCATGAAGGAAAGCTGCTTGGTTGCTCATTTAATCACAATTGTGTATGAGTATGGGTTGTAGATATCTCGGTATTGCTCAGTTCCTATTGAATCCTGGTTTTGTTTATTTTTGCTTTTATTTCTTCTCAGATCTGGTTTTAACCTTTTTCCCTCTCTTGCTCAGCGCATAGAGCCATATGCAGTTGGTAGTAATACCCAGTTCACTGGTCATACTGAATCCAAGTCTGGATCAAGTGGAAACCCACCAGTCTTGAGAGAAAACAATTCAGAGACTAGTTTGGGGAAGGTGATCTACTTCGCAAA